TGATATGGGAATGGAGAACGTAATATTTGATTGTGTAATTATCTAAAATATCCTTTCAATATTTAGAAGATTCATGTCAAATTTTTTAATGCGCAATTGATAATAGGGACACATATTTAGGAAATTATTCATTAATTAAAATTAAATATTAATTAATTATATGAAATAAATAATCATGTTAATTATTAAATGATCATATTAAATAATTATATTAATTATTTAGTGCGTTGTGCTTAGGATGCATATTAATTATTTATTGATTTTAATTGAAGGTCTAAATGTAATTTTACGTCGAATGGTTAAAGTATAAACCGAACTTATTACAACCCTCTTTTGAATAAAAAACAAATATCATATCAACTCTTTTATATAATAAATAAATGATCAGAAATAGCTTCCATAGATCCAATGGTCATTATTATTTAGGAAGAAATGATATTAGCCTCTTTTTAAATACCTTCCCATATGCATGACCCACCATCAACCTATATTGTATTTGAACAGTCTTTGTTCACGGTTTGTCCCTAGCTGATCCAACTTGGTGGTTTGTCTTTTGCATAATTTGTCCAGTGAATCTCAACGATATCTAAAAATTATGATTTTACTATTTGTTACTACATATATGACTAACTAATATTATCAAAGTAAAGTTTGATAAGGTTTTTTTTTTTTTTTCTTTTGAGGGTAAAAAAAAATAAAACCTCAGAGGATAAAGCAAACTGAGCTAGTGAATGTGCTACTTTATTACAGGATCTACCAACAAAACTAAACTTAAAGAAAAGGAACTCAGCAGCAAGCTCTTTGATCTGAAGAATACGAGTGCCTATGTCCGACTGGGGAAAAACCGTACCATGGAACAGCTTGACCACGACCTGACAGTCCGACTCAATGACCAACCGCGAGAAGCCCATCTCCTTCGCTCTTCGAAGCCCAAAGATAATCGCCTGTGCTTCTGCATTTTCTGGCGAGAGAGGCAGATGAAGTAATGCTACACCTGAAGCCATAACTGCTTCCCGACTGTCTCTGATTACCATACCAACCCCACCCTCATCCGATCGAACCGCAGCATCCGTGTTCAGCTTATAACACCCATCCACAGGCGGTTGCCAACGCAGTGAGGAGCTGTGAGTACTCGACTGAGACTGTGCGACTCCCTCTCTGCAGTCCTGAAATTCCAGAAGTAATGAAAGAGCCACTCGAGTTATCTGAACTGCCGACATCTCCTTATTTTGAAAGATGAGCTGATTACGAGCGTGCCATAAAGACCACGCCACCATAAACAGAATTTGCTAACTGCTCATCTTCAAAGGCCACCGCTACATGTTTCAAACAAATTCAAAAAATCAGAAAAAGAACGCTGAATTTCATAAAATGTTAATTTGGAAAAAAAATAATTTTATTTATTAGTTATTTTTATAAAGTTAATAAAATTAGATTATAATATATATAAATAGGAATCAACAACTGATAGATATCGGCTAAAATTACTTAACAAACATCTTTAGTCTAGGTAAAATTCTTAATAACAAACACCTATAGTCCAATATTGAATATAAATAATTTATCTTCTACATAAATTAAATATCCTTTATGTCGACTAATTAAATGTAGTATGAGTAGATCTAATTCTGAGTATTGCTAGATTCCATGATGGTGGTTTTGTCTGGTATTTTTTATTATTTGGATAGTTATGCAAAAAGAAATACAGATCTTCTCTCTAATAAGGAAAAATTTAAAGGTAATCTAATCGGACTTATAGAAAGACCATAAAGTCGAATAGTGGCTATGAATAGCCAGCAAGTGGAGCAAGCGATTGTCTATGGCTAAATATTATACTTCGTAAACTCGATTAGATACTTCAAATCAAAAGTATTAGACTTCCAATGAATAAATGATTTTTTATTATTTGGATAGTTATACAAAAAGAAATGCAGTTCTTCTCTTTAATAGAAGGAAGAAATTTAATAGTAATCAAATTGAACTTATAGAACAACCATAGAATCGAATAGTGGCCAAGAATAGCATGCATATCTATTATTTTGAACTTCCAACATTTAATTGGATAGTTATACTATAATGCATGCATATCCATTATTTTGAACTTCCAACAATTAATTGCGTATCCAATTTGAGCACAATTCTCTAATAATTAATTGCATATATATGTGTATGATTCTTGTTTTTCTTTTTATAATAACAAATTAGGAATAAAATTTGTTCAAAGAAACTGGGATTCCTAAAAAGATTTTGTTCATTGATAAATAAAATAAAATATTGCAAAATGATTACCTCACGTTAAAGACATCATGTACATGTATGCACATTTTAATCACCAATATTAGCTATTTGGATTAAGGATAAGCCTTGTTTCAATTCTTTAAATTTATTCGCAACTCTGTGCATATCATTATGTTTAATATAAATCAAAATATTACCGTATTTTACAAATTTATTCAGGCCCAAAATATACATTTACTGCAAAAGAGGAAATTAAGTGAAGTACTCCAGATACAAAGTATGGAAATAAAATAAAATAAGACCTCAATTATACTATTGATTTATTACGTACCTATAGTTGTGCTACAAATTTTAAAATCTGTTCGGTAAAATTAATTATTTTAATAGTTGTTAATTATTTTAGTAATATTTAATTGTTAGCTGTTTGAGTAGCTTTTCGAAAAGGCTAAAAGCTAAAGCTTATATGGATTAATTTTTATAAAACACTAACTTAACCACTAAAAGCCAATTTATTTAGCGTTAAATACAGTCTTAATATACACCTTTTAAAATTAACAATAGTTTTTCGATTTATTATATGGAGAAAATTTACTTTTACGTTTTCTTTTCCTTTTTATTCTATTCTGGATTCTTCTATTTATGTAGACACTAATTGATTGTATTTTTCTAGTTAAAATTTTTATATAGAGAGGTACTGAATATTGCCCAAATTTGAAATTTAAAAAATAGAAAGGTTAAAAGTATATTTGAGGTGCCATTCTCTTGAAGTAATTAGAGTACGATTAATATGGTGGTCGAAATGGAGTGATTGAAATTCCCTCTTTTTAATCAAAGGTTTTGGATTCAGGTTTTGAGTAAAAAATTATCATGCTGGGAGAGTCCACCTTCATGAGCCCTGCAGTACTTGAGCTGGACATAATCAAAATTCAGTGGGTTTTAGATATTGGTAGTTATAGACTAACAAAAAAAAGTGATTGGAGGATGCATTTGACCATTTTGTTAGTTCAACATAATTAAATTAAATTACATCATATTTATAAATAAGTTTTATAATTTAAATTTATTTTACTAAACAAGGGTAGAAAAAAATAGTTGGGTTTCAACCAATAAAATAATAGTTAAAATATTTATTCTACAAGGGTTTATATTACTATTAGTAAGTAAACATAAAACTTCAATAGGGGAGAGATAAGCACAATTTTTTTTTTGAAAAAAAAAAAAAAAGGAAAGAAAGAAATTGCAAATTGCATGGTCTCCTCTTGTATAACAAAACAAGCTAATCTTTCTTCTTTTCTTTTTAAGGTTGAGGAAAATATCCCTCTCCATTACCTGGATAAAGACACGAAATTAAAATCTTTTGTAATAGAAATTAAAACCTTATTGGACAGGAAAAATTCGTTTTTTCTTAACAAATTAAATAAAAGAAATAAAAAGAAAATGAAGATCAAAGGAAGATTCAGAACTTCAGAAATATAAAAAGCTTTTAAATGCAGAGATCCTCTTTGATTGTTTTGAGAATGTTTTTCCTAGTGAACTTGTCATTCTTATGTTGGATTTACAGAAAAGAAAACACAAACAAACACAACCTTAAGTTCTCTTACAGATATATTTTTTTTTAGAAAAAAAAATAATTCTGTCCTTCATTGTCCTATTCATTTTCTATCATTGTCTGATAAACTCTGCCACACATTACAAGCATCAAATCTGAGAATGAATCCAACTCAATCAGTCCTACAATATAGCCCCAAAAATCTTTCACTTCATACCCTCTCTAAAATCAGAATATATATATATATATATATATAAACACACTTTAAGTTCTGCGTTTACAGATATTAGTTTTTTTTTTTAGAAACACAAATAAAATTTCTGTCCTTCAATTGTCCTTATTCATTTTTCTATCATTCGAGTCTTGATTATAGAACATGGCCAACAGCCATAATACTTAGTCATGCTAAATCATAGAGAATGAATCCAAACTCAATCACACACACAAACTATTGAGCCCAAAAAAGTCATCACCATTACCCTCTCTCTAAAGAATCAGAATAGATACCATATACCCACATTAGGTACATATGAGTAAGCTGTAAACTTTTTACCCAATGAATAACCCAGTACACAGAAAATGCGCACAAGGATTTCAAATCTACTAATATTTCAGTTCTTGGAACTCTGCAAGAAAATTTCTGTCTTTGAGACGAGATAACAAGAACATATTTAATTTCATCTGTAACATAAATTTATAAACATATTCTCCACTTTCTGCTTTCTTCATACTTTAGCGCTACAAAAAGAAAAGATTATTCTTTCGCTTTCATTACCCTATGCCATTCTCCCTTGCAAGCATTAGGTAAGATATCTAACATGCATGGAGACTAATGAGAAACCACTAACTACCCACCTGCACAACAATACATCTCCCTCCTATTTCTTGTTTAATTCTACAGCTTAAAATAAGAAAAAGAAAAAATAATATATAAAAACCCCATAATTTAATTATAGACTACAAACAAAGGAATTTGTCTCTTTCTTCAGTTAGGTGATGATAAACGGGGGTCAAATAGTTTTTTGGAACTCCATGTACCTCTTTGTTCATTCACAGACAGACACTGGAAACGAGTACAAGTTTTAGAATTTCAAATAAAAAGAGTGGTAGAAAGGGTTGAGAGAAAACTCACAAAATTAGTAGCGGGAAATATATATATATATATATATATAAGCTTAATACTTTACCAATGAAATCCCAGTACACAGAAAAATGCACAGAATTCAAATCTCTAATATTCAGTTCTTGGAAACTCGCATAAATTTCTGCTTTTACAGATTCAAGAATCACATTAATTACGTACACATATTTCTCCTTTCTTGCTTCTTCATCTTTAGCGCTCCAAAAGAAAGAATATTCTTTGTTTTCCCTATGCATTCTCTCCTTGCAAGCAATTGGTAGATTCACATGCATGGAGATAATTCTAAACCCTAAACTACCCACACAAATACATCTCCCTCTTTTCTTGTTTTTACACTAAAATAAGAAAAGAAAAAAATATATAAAACCCCATAATTAATTAAGACTACAAACAAGGAATTGCTCTTTTCTTCAGTTAGGTGAGGTAAAGGGGTCATAGGTTTTGAACTCCTGACCTCTTATACTACGAGACAGACACTGAAACGACAAAGTTTTAATCAAATAAAAAGGGAGAAAAGAAACTACAAAAATTATAGGGATTGGGTCATTAGTTTGTGGTCTAATACCCTTCGCCTTTTAGATCGATCACTAGCATTCGATCTTTCGAGTAAAGATTTGAGTGCAGTTTGCAAGAAATGTACTGATTCAATGCTATGATCTTTCTCAGCTGCAACTATAAGTACATTTCTAATTCTTCCTCCAAGTGTTACCATTTCAGCACTCAATGTCTTCAAATGGAGAGATTTTAGTATCTCAATTAGATCAGGCAAAAGGTCAGACCTATCTTCACAGCATAAAGATGCTTTGAAGATTAACTGTCCGTCGCCTGAATATTCACCAGAAAGTACAGTTATCTCATCGGTTTCCGATGGGAAGGTTTCCAGTCCTGGAATTTGTGATGTCTGTTGCTTTAGTTCTCTAACTCTTTGAACAACCTTTGCTAGAAGTGAAGCTTTGTCTGTCTGTAAAAATTGAAACAGAAAGAAACCCTAAGAATGTAAAAAGCTTTGCTACTTTAATTCCCAAACAGAATACACTAACCCTATAAATAATTTAGAGACAAGAATAAAACAAAATTAAAAAGAAAAAAAAAACACTTTCTTGCTTTTGCTTTTGCTTTTGCAGGTAAGGTCTGTACTCACAGTTTGAACATTCAAAAGGCTGATATATATAGATCCAAGATTTCAGAATCTGAATTTTAATTATCGTAGTAATGGATAACTGAGCATAGATCCTTGTGTTTGCTTGCGAAGAAAATGAGGGAAAGCGAAGAGAAAAGAAAAACAGAAAGATCAAGAAAAAATTCATATAAAAACACCGTCTAATTCGCTAATAATGATTATGTTGGGCAAATGTCAAGTCAGTCAGCACTTAGCAGAGATTTTTCGGCTTTATCGGTCAAAAAAGTCTAAAAAATCAAAGTTTTAACTCTCTTCTTTCTCCCACAGTTTCTCAGATACCAAACAGTGAAAAAACATTAATAATTATTGCAAGAAAAAAAATCACATTGATCAAAGCTTTCACAATTTCCACAAATCTTCAGGCAAATTTAAAAAAAATTTCAAAATCTCTGCCATTAAAACATCTTTAAAGCCTGAAGATCCTTTTCCAAGAAAAATTGCTAATTAATATTATAATGAACATCTATACAATTAATTACCTTAGAATTGCAAGGAAGAAGACTCCTAAGCTTATCAAGGTGAGAGTTAATTCTCTCTCTTCTTCTCTTCTCAGCTTCCTTGTGATTCTTCAAAGCAGCAAGAGCTCTATCTTGTGGTGTCATATCCGTAATTATAGATCTTTCTTGGGGGTAGTTATGGTAAGAGGAAGAAGATGAACTGCATAAGCTTTGCATAGCTGGGAACCCGTACGGTCCGATGTTGAAGACTCCGTTCTCGGCAAGCAACCGGTACAAGTGTGAATTTTCCGGCAAGTTGTCGGGCTGCATGGTTTGTATCGTGTGGGAATGGTTTGTAAAGGAAACGAAATGATATATATAATTTCTTTTTGGTGTTGAAAAAAGGCCAAGTGGAGAGGTTTGGCTTTCGGTGGTTTTGGGTTTTGTCCACGATAAAGGGTTTGCATTCATAGTCGTTTGATTTGACTTGCTATGTCGTTTTTGGATAAGGTAAGAGTGGGGACCCTTTTGCCTTTTTCACTCGCATTGTTGGGGTAGAAATTTTCGGTACAATTTATAATGGTTTTTTGTTTTATATATATATCAACAAATTTATATTTTGAAAAGATTTTATATCAACAATTTATATTTAAAATATGGTAACACAGTTTTACATTGAATTTGAGTCACTAGGTACGATAACGTTTCTATTTTTATTCTCTTATAATATTTCTATTTTTTGAATTTATTTATATAATCCGTTTATTTATTATCTATAATATATAATTTAAGTGCTTATTTATATTGATAAGACGTGAAATACATGAATCTTTAATATAAGATCCATGTATTAGGAAATCATAAATTTCATATTTCATTGTTTAATTGAAAATAAATTTTATAATTTGACTGTCATTTAAAATAAAATTAAATGGCTTAAAATTTATCATTAATAAAAAATATTTGAATTGACAAAATTCAGTTTATGAGACAAAGATTTCTCTATTTTTTTAAAATAATGAAATTGACACCATGTTAAAATTTATTTATATTCATATAAATAATGATTGCTACCAACCACGAAAGACGGATGATGATATATCTAAGCTACATAGCTTGGCAAAAATTATTAATTATATGAATTACGACTTAATTAATTTTATTGATTCAAATAAAAAGCTAATAAATTTATGAAATATTTAATTTTATCACTTAAATTTCATCAATTCAGTGTGTTTCTATTAATTTCGTGTGAAAAGTTCTTTTTTAGACTTGATGTACTACAGAAGACAAGTTCTTATTAACGTATTAACGTCTTTTACAATTGTCTCTTTTTCTTTTCTTTTTTTTTTTTTTTAATCATCAGCCAAAGAGAATATTAATTAGATTAAATTAAAAACGAGTAATACAACTTACAAAAGGAATTTATGAGTCCAAGGGAAACGAAAAAAACCATACAGCACCATCAAATAGAGAAGATGGCCCAAAAAAATCTCTGATCTCACAACCATTTGTCGAGAAGAAATAGAAGGAATGGAAGATCAAAATAAACCATGCCAAATTTGAAGTTCTATATATTTACTGCTTCTTCTGCAGTAATTTGCAAAAGAAAAAAAAAAAATCCTTTCTTTGGGTAAATTTCTCAAACAACAATGATTAAGCAAGTAATTTGCAATTATCAATTGAGTCGAAAATTACTGAGTAGAGCTTCCAAAGTCTAGGTTCCAAGGTCTGGGATTTTCAGTGCAGCTTCCAATAAACTCCTGAATAGTGAATACCAAAACTTCAGTTCAGTTGTAAGAGTTCCTTCAAAAAATTTAGCATCAACTTCAGTAATAGACCTATGATGTTCCTATGCATTCACTTCTACATGGGGTGGCCACACGGTTGCCAACATGCCGGTTTTTATTCCAAAACTACTGGTTTCGATTTAAAAAATGTGGAATTAGAACTGAATCTGAAATCTACGGTTCTGGTTACAATTTGGAATCGGCCGATTATATTTCTAGTTTCAGTTCCTTAAAGATTCCAAAACTGACTGTTCTAAACGGTTCTACCACTGGTTTTTAAGGCGCTTCATATAATTTTAAAGTCAAAAAATTATGAAGTAATTTTTTCAAAATTTAAAATTTAAATATTTATGAATAATTTTTAAATTAAAACTTTAAAAGAAATTAAACAATGGGCTTCAATTTAATTAGAGATTGTGAAATTATTTAACAATAATTACAAATTGGAGAGTAGAGAGAAACAATTGGGTATGAGGAGAATGAAAATAATGCAGCATTTATAGTAAATCCAAAAAATTTAACTTTCACAAATATCCCTAAAACTAGCTAAAACTAGCTGTTATATAACCGTTTAGAGTATTTAGGTAGGGATTTGATAAAAAATTTTAAAAAAATAAAAAAAAATTATGTTGCAACCGGTTGGAACCACCGATATTAACCGATTGTCAAAACCAGGTTTGGTCGATTCTTAGAACCATCAGTTCATGGTACTAAAAAATTTAGAATCGAAATTCAACCACAAAATCGGGTTCCGGTTCCAATTCTGGCCAATTCCGGTTTTAAGTTTCCATTTTGAATAGATAGTTTCAAAAACCGGATCCACCCTACTTCCAAATATTGACATGTAATCCAGAGAGAGAGACAACGAGTGGGTGAGTGAGAGGTACAGAGGTAAGAGGAATTGATATTATTCTATTCAAAGGACAGACAAGGCAATTTTGTAGCAAAATGTTATTTGAGTAAGATATTAATTGAATCCATAAATCATGTTCAAATTAACTTAAGTCCCTCTATATTTAAAAAACAATTATGACATTCCTAACATATGGTTTATCTCATTGTCGGGTCCTTCCATCTAAAAACTAAGCTCTTTTCATCTAAAAAATGAGCATATTCCGCTCAAAAAGTATCTAATTGACGATAAGCTCACTTGTTTTACGGAAGGACTTAATAGTGAGACAAAAATAGGGACGAAAACGATGCGGATATTTTAGGGTATCCGCACTGCTCCAATCCGTTTAAAAGGATAAGGTAATTATAAATGAGTTTAGAACAAATACGGATAATGAAATTACTACCTGTAACGAATACGGATATAATTCTTAGATACCCGCTATATTAAACTAGTTTGAAAGTGGGTACCTACCAGTATTCTATCCACTATTAATAAAAATTATATTTTAAATAAGTGCAAATTTGGATAGTTTAAATTTGAGAGTACCTGACCTGTATAAGGTATTTTAAACGAGTTTTGGACAAATACGGGTAGTAAAAATTTAAATGGATTTGGATAAGAGTACTTACATAGATATTTAAACGAATTTGAGACGAATATGAATAATAAAATTTTAAACAGATATGGGTATGAGTAGCTTAAAATTCGCGGGTACCCGCCTTGCTTCTATCCGTAGATAGAAGCAAAAGTTAGAGACATCATAATTATTTCTTAAATGTGTTAATTTGAATATAATTTAGGGACTCAATTATATTTTATCCATCTTATTTTCTTTTTCTTTTTTGTTAAGAGACAATTATTATGAAGTCCATGATGTTTGATTAAAATTACTATTTCATCCCTACTGTTTGAAAAAATTACTACAAAGCCTTTGAAATTTGGTCTCATTTAAACTACTTAGTCCTTCCGTTATTTTTCATATTAAGTGAGGAACCAAATAGTTAGGGGTGTGCATGGGTCGGGTTGGGACGGAAATTACATAATTCTAATCCCATCAAAATATCAGGATGTACAAAATGGAGTCTCAATCCCATTCTAATAAATATATATCTCATCCCATCTTGTCCCTTTTTGGGACGAGACGGGATAGAAATTTGGATTTATAGAACAGGACAGAATGGATCATGTTGGAAATCAATTGAAATTTTTCTTAATCTTAATAAATTATTTTTCATCAAAAAAAGATAAAAATTACTATATTCATCAATTACATTCAACATAATTCATTTATATAAATTTGAGTAAAAAAAAAGAATAAATCGAATAATTGATTTAATCATTGATGATCTACTACTACAGTTATAATAGAAGATTTTTTAGTTATTTTCTGGTTAATAAAAGTGTTAAATATAATAAAATAAAATAATACAAAAAAAATATATACAATTTAATTTTATATGTATTTTTTTAAGGGATACTCAAAAGTTTAATATTTAGTCCATCTTATGTTTCTTGCTTGTTCTTTTTGCTGTTTAAGTTAAGACAATGTATTTAATTCCGATTCCATGAAATGTTTATTAAAATTTACTATTTTCAATCCCTAAATTGTTATTGTATAAAAGATTTTAACTTACAATAGCCTTTGAATTTGGTTCTCATTTAATATAATAACTTAGAATCCTTCCGTTATTTATCATATAATGTGATGGAACCAAAGTAAATTAGGGGTGGTGCAATGGTCCGCCCGTGGACGGAAATATACATAAGTTCTAGATCCATCGAAATATCAGGATAGATACAAATGGATCTCAAGCCCATTCTATATAAATATATGTATCGTATCTCCATCTGTCCCTCTTTCTTGGTGACGAGACGGGATAGAAAGAAAATTTTGATTTTAGGATACAGACAAGAATGGGATCTATGTGTGGTACTAATCAATTGAATTTTTCTTTATCACTATAATAAATTATTTATATATCTCATCATAGAAAAAAGATAGAACAAATATATCTAGTAATTAGCGATCATTACCATTCAACATGAAATTCATTTATATATCTAAATTTGAGCTAAAAAAAGTAAGAGAATAAAAAATACGAATATCAATTGATTTAACCATTGAATGATCTTAGCTACTACATGTATAAAATTAGTAAGATTTTTTTAGTTAAATTTTCTGTGTTGTAATAAAAGTGTTTATAACTGAGTATATAAATACAAATAATACAAAAAAAATATATAAAAATCATTTAATTTTTATTTGTATAAATTTTTAAATGAAATTTTGACGCGTCATTATCCTCTTTTTGTCAGCTGTATGTCTTGTTATAGTTTATTACTGAAATTTGATACTTACTATTTAAATTTGATACTTACTTAATTTAATCTTGATATCATCTAAAAAATAAATAATGATAGTATTAAAAACATAGCTAATAATCCAGTAATTAGATTAATTGATGTTGATATATTTCTCTTGTATTGATTAATCTTTGCATTTTTGTTTAATAGAAAAAAAAATTATTCAAAAAGATTTACTTAACGCATGCTATGGAATGAAAGAGGAAAAACCTATATTGAAAAATATACTTAATTACTTTATTTATTTTATATTTAAATGCATATTATTTTTTCGTATTATTATTACTTTATCAGTAAATGGTATTATAAAAAAACTAAAATAAAAACAATGAAAATGATTTTTAGGAACATAATTTGAAATTTATATTAAAAAACCAG